AAAAAAAAAAAAAAAAAAGAAGGGATTCAACATTGCTCGTTGTGTCCCTCGCTGCACAAACAAGGGTTTTATACATTTAGCAGGAACACTAATTAAGAGGTCAGAAGGCCTGGGTTCCAGTGCCATTTTTATTTGTAACTAACCATATACAAATCACTTATCTATGAAATAATGGTTAACATCTATCCCCTAATTCACAAATATATCATGAAGCCAAAGGCTTCCCCAAAAAACTTCTTTTTAAACCACATTACTGTTAATTAGCTTATACTTAACTCAAACGATGAAAATGGTAAACTGAAGAATTTGTCTTTTATCAATCAGTTGCATACTTTAATTCTGCAGATGGATAATCTGAGATCAGCACTGTCCTATTTCAACCTTACAAAACAAAAAGCTATCAACAAGAAGTTACTGGTGAAGAAAAGCTGGCCAAAAAATAACACTACGAAGAAACAGCTTTCTAAGTTGAGACCAGTGCTTTTACCATCCTGATACCAAATGGAACAAAAGTTAGCCTTAGGCCACTAAAGCATGTTTGCTGTTTTGAGGGAACACTTTCTTAAGAACACACTGCTAGAGCAACAATCTTATTTCACTAGAAATAATGTTAAACAGGAATGTCTTATGAACTCTTCAGATGCCCAATCAAAATGGCTAAGAAAACACTTGTGTGCTTGTTTGTTTTTTTTTTAATCCTTTTCTCTCTCCCTCTTTTTTTCATTCAAAATTCAGTTCCCTATCCTGAGGCACACTCCTCAGTACTCTGATGTGGTGTAAGAAATGTTAGCATTCGGTCACTAGAGAATAAACATATAAGAGGAATTAACATTTTGAACAAAGATGCAAAAAGAGGATTCTAAGTCAGTATAGAAAAATTTAGAGACTATAAGCATCTGTGTATGTACATCATTTATCATGGATATGTGTTGTGACAGTCCTATGTATTAACAGACCCTCAAAAGGTAAGCACCTCTATTTCTCTGTATTCAACAACATCAATTTTGTGTGATTTAGGCTCTAGTTCTGGACATTCCCTTACTTTATGGTGACACAAAAACAAACAAAAAGACAACAAAGACTGGAGCATGGTTCACAGAGAAATACAGAACAGATACAAATACCCTAATAAAATAACCATGTATACCATTGCTAGGGAAATATTTTAGAGGAAACATATGTTCACTATTGGCCCCAAATGCCATCATCCACTTACGTTCTTTAACTATCAACTTTTAATACAAAAATAACTTTGAGATGATAATCATATACAGTGACTTACAAAACTTGACAGAACATTTCAATGCTACACAAAACAGTTCCATACACAGTTTGAAGTTTTAAAGTTCTCTGCTGGCACTTGATTTTATAGTTGATAGACGCAGTAACTACTGATCTCAATGAAATACCCTTTTTAGCTTAAATGTATTTTCAAAACCAGTATTACCTCACAAAAACGGTAAACAATAAATCACTTCCTGCTGAAGAATCCTCTAAGATGAACACCAAAACTATACAGCCAAAATATTTTAGGGAAGCATATAAACTTCTTAAGACTAGGTATGACCAATAGATAAAAATTTACATTACTCAATCATATGTCCAGTGAAAAAAAGGATTGTTCCTTTGATTCGATGAAGCATTTATCAGGTACAGATGAAATATATGATCTCACAAAGCAAGTTACTTTTTTTTTTTTTTTAGTTTAGAAGGGTGTTTAAATAATTGGTGACACTACTGGAATGGATGTTTTTTAAAATAGAAAAATGGTCACATTTAGCAACTACATGTTATATTCCAAAATTAAAAGTGAAATTTCTTTTAAAACAGTGGAATCCTGATTTTTTTTGCTTTCTGTGAGTTCTTAAGACCATTCTGCACATTATCAAAATGAAATCCCATTTTATAACACATATATATAACCAAATTTTTTTCTGTGCAGAAGGGGTGAAAACCAAACCAAATTTAACAAACTATACTAACTTATAATACTAAAAACTGGCTATCTCAAAATTTGGGAAATCTACTACTTTCATTATTCTGAAGGAAAAGATAAACCTTCAAAACCCTACCAACAATTTCTAGTCCAATTTTCTATTTTTAAAAATTAAAAAGTTAAATTCTTTGTGGCACTAAATAGAATTAAAAAGTTAAAAGAAGACTAAAATAGATAATCAAAATATAAAGAGTATAACTAACCAAAACAATCCACTGGTGCAACAATACTTGAACAATGAAAAAAACCACCAAGCATTCTAATTAATTATATAGTTCATTTTTGCATATTTTAATCTCAACTTTTAGCACAGTAAATTATTATATAGGTTGATTTCATGGAGTGTTTAAATTTTGTAACATTACATTAGTAATTCAAACATCACCCTTTCCAAACCAAATCTGCAGTCCTAATCAACATTTTTTTTTTCAAGAAAAGGACATCTTTTAAAGATACATTCCATAGCAGTAGAAACATTTTAGTGCTTCAAAATATTTACAAAGAACCCTGCTGATCCTGTGCATTTCGCTGAGGTGCTACCTGCACCCAGACTTCATCATCAGAAAAAGAACTTGAACTTCCTGACTCTGAGTCCAGCTCACTGAATCCATCTAAGTCCCATTCAGTACTAGACTCACTCCGTGCATCATCTTCCTCAGTGATGAAACTCTGTCCAGGTTCCAGGCAGGAAGGATACACACGAGCACAGAGGCAAATAAAGCCAGAGTCAAACTGCAAAAGGCCTAACATGGTACCTATATTAATCCACTGGTCTTCCCTAGTATCGTATTCATAAACAGTCACCCGGTTTTTTTTCCATTGAGGGGTGGTAGAAGTGATGAGAAGCAACTTTTGGCCATGATTGACAATCTGGTAGTTGTGGGTCTCTGAGTCCAAGGGAATATTACTAATCCGCCTCCATTCTCCCCTGGCTGGGTTATAGACCTTCATGACTGGGATGTCACAGATACAATAGATCTCATCATTGAAGACACAGGCTTCCTGAAAGTCACTACGTTTAAGAGAAGCACAGTTCAGCCACGTATTGTGGCTAGGATCGTAGTAGAGCATGCGCTTACTGTTCACAGCATAAAGATAGTTTTGAACCACTATTAGTTCAAAGGAATAGAAGGAATGGGGTACAGGAGCCACCAGCGCCCACTGGTTCCTCTGGACACTGTAGCATTCTACCTCCTTCAGTTTCACGCCGGTAATCGGGTCTCGCCCACCCAAAATGTAGATGTAGCCATTGAGGTAGGCCACATCCATGCCCTCCCGACACAGCAGGCGGTCGGCAAGCTGCTGCCAGCTGTTCTGGGCTGGCTTGTACACCCACAGGTCCTTCCTGGGCTGAGCGGCCAGGTAGATGTCGTGGTCTGGAGAGACACAGACAGCTAAGGTGGTGACAGTCCTCGTGTGAGCCAGGCAGGTCAGAGGCGACGGCACTTTGTAAATATCGCCGGTGTACGGGTCACAGCACAGGAAGGGATCTCTGGGATGGCCAAAGAAGATCACCATCTTCTTAGCGCACACGCCCAGCCGCTGGGGGGGATTCTCTGCTGTGGGCACCACAGAGGCGCTGCTGCTGCCGCCGCCACTGCTGGTGCTGCAGGTGCTGCTGGCGCCGCCGCTGCCGCTGCTGGTCTCTGGCTTCGGCACCAGGGACTTGCACAACTTGTCACCATATCGCATCTGCAGGGCCCCTTCAATAAGGTCCAGACAGTACTTCTTGACAATGGGCTTGGTTAACAGCCCTTCCAGGTAATCCTGATCTTCATCTCTGAAGTGCGTCCAGCGGACACACTTGAAGACTTCCGCAGCGCTGGGGCCCCGCTCCTTGGGAGCCGCCTCCAACCACTGCACCGCCACATGACACACGGTCTGCTCCAGCTCTATGTTGAGACTATCCAGGCGCAGGATGGACAGCAACTGGGCGAGGGTCAGATCTGCCAGAGTCTCTTCCCGAATCGAGCCCATCTGGCTGAGCTGCTTGAAATTGTGGGCTATAAAGGACTGGGCCTGTGAACGCAGCTTGTGATGGTCAAAGGCGTCGGCAAACTTGAGGATGGCGGTGCAGTTGGCCAGGTCAAGGCGGCGGGCTAGGAAGGAGGCACAGGCTTCCCGTACGTACTCGAGCTGTAACATGTCAGAGGCCGCGTAAAGGCGTTGCACGTTGGCCTCACTTAGCGACACGCGACCGGTGTAGCAGTAGTCGACCAGCACCTCGAAGGACTCAGCATCCACATCATGCATGGTCACACTCGCCTGTTGGCTCTCGTACATGCCACCGGTGAACATGCTCTTGAAGTAGGGACACGCGGCAGCCAGCACGTTACGGTTGCAGGAAAAAAGGCGGCCGGTGCCAGGCCCGCTACCAGGCGTCACCACCTCGATGGTCACATCACATAACAGCCGCGCGTCGTAGAAGGACTTCAGCTGTGCCAGGAGGGCTGCAGAATGAGCCGTGTCCTTCAGCTCCTCCGGGCCCGTGAAAAAAGCCGAAACAGAAGGCTTGGAAATCCTCTTGGGCCGCCTCCCGCCGCGGGGACTGGCCAGGCGGCGAGAGCGCGGAGCTTCTTCCCGGGACTGCATGGTGGAGATGGCGGCGGGGTAGGAGGGCGAGAATGGGTGCAAGGACCGGGCTCTGGCTCCTCCTCGCCCTCTTCTCGCTGGCGCTAGATCGCGGCGTCCCTGAATAGACTGCAGGGGCCGCACTTACTCAACTCAGCGCTGCGCCGCGGTGCTGCCTCCCTTTATCGCGTAGACAGTGCCTGACTCACCCTCTTCCAGTTCCGCGCCCTTTCTCCGCCTCAGCTCGTTTACGGGACCCGCTGGACGGAACCAAGAGAGCCGCCACTGCCGCGCTGGCAAGACCGGTAGGCGTCCAAGAGAACTACGGCTCCCAGACTGCTTTTCGCGCCTCGAGGCATGCCGGGGCCCTCCAGACTCAAGGGGATAAGCGGACGGACCCAAGCCGCTGCGCATGTTGGGAGTGGTAGTTTGAGTAATATCGCGAGGTTTCTGGGGGAGGACTGTTTTAGCTAACAGAATTTGAAAGCGTTAATTCTCCTGGATTTGTTGGTTTGGAGGATTGGCTTTGAAGTTCCAGGGTAAAATCTCCGTTTTAGTATTCGTTCATTGTGTGACATCTCTTTGAGAACTTTTCCCTCTTTGTGAAGTGGGGATAATAGTTTTCATGGGATTGTGTGAGTGGAATGAGATAAATTGCATAGGACACAGGGCGCTTCAATAAATATTTGTTGGTTAGAATAATTACATGCTTACACCGTGCCTAGAATATAAAGATTCAATCTTTGTTAGCTTTTGGGGGGGGGGAGGAGGAGAATTTATAAAAAAAAAAAATAAGGTACTCACAACATGTGAAACCATGAGCAATTTCTGCAAAAAAACTTCCAATGTTGCTTCTTTTGAAGGGTTCTGAAGGTTACTACAATATTTTCAATACTAAACAATATCCATAAGTTCATTGGGATGTCTTAGACAAAGATGAGGTCCTAGAGAACAGCATTTATAGGTGGCCTCAAAAAAGCGTATCAGGCATATTACACAGGTGGGTCTCCATGTCTCACCAAATCAATACTTCCTCCAGGGGAGCAAGATTATTTTCATAAGCACTTAATATGAGTGTTTTTGTGTCATCTAACACTGCTCATTTGACTTCCCCTCCACAAATCAGTCGAAGATTATAGAGTTGTCTTTATCAAGGGGTTTAAACGGGAGTTTTAACACACAGACCTTGTACAAAAGCACAAGATCCTCAAAGCTCCGTATTCATGCATGCCCTAATATTTTGAATTAATATAGTTCAACCTATGCTTTACAAAAGTGTTTATATATGTATTGATCAATATTCTTAGTTAAATCATCAAAATCAAGTGCTTAGAGGTTGGGTTTTGTGTCGTTTTTAATTTTTTATTTTTAAAGATTTTATTTGAGAGAGAGAGATTAAGAGAGAGAGAGAGCACATGAGAGGGGGGAGGGTCAGAGGGAGAAGCAGACTCCCTGCCAAGCAGGGAGCCCTATGCGGGACTCAGTCCAGCGACTCCAGGATCATGACCTGAGCCGAAGGCAGTCGCTTAACCAACTGAGCCACCCAGGCGCCCCTTGTGTCGTTTTTTAAAAAGGGAACTTTTACTTAAAAAAGCAGGTTGCTCTTGCCACTAGCTTGTCATGCGTTACCATAACTTAATGAAATCTTAGTTATTACATTGATGGGTGGATAACACATGGCAGGAGAATAAACTCAAATTGTTTTGCTCTCTTGTCCTATTAGCTGAAGAGCTTCTATTGGAAATACTCCAGGATAGAGACATTAAGACATTAAGAGACATACTGGGCTCTAGTATCTCCTCTGTAGGGTTGTTGGGTATCCCTTAGATACACTTGAGAGAATTATTAGGTCATTAGTAACACTGATTGCTTTCTTACCTCAATAAAACAGCTGGGGAAAAAGCAATTACAATTTTTTTATATTGGTAAAATATACAGTAGTTACCATTTTGAACAATTCTTTAAGAGTACATTTATCTGGCATTAACTACATTCACTGGTTTTGCAACTATCACCACCACCCATCTCCAGAGCTCTTCATATTACAGAACCGATTCACAGTAACTCTCCTTTCCCCTTTCCCTCAACCCCCTACTAACCACCATTCTACTTGCTGTCTCTGAATTTGACTACCTTAGGTAATGCATATCAGTTCAGTGATTGATTTTTAACTTCCTGATATCTGCCCTTTGTTAGTTGGTTTAGATTACCTTTTACACAATCCAAAGTATTTAGCAGGCACTGTGCCCTAAGGTCAAGAGCAGTGCTGCTACAGAACTTTGTGATGCTGCAAACATTTTCTCTGTGCTGCAAGCCGCAGGTAGCTCTTGAGTACTTCAAACGTGGCTAGTGCAACTGAGGAACTGAATTTAACATTTTATTTTTTTTTAAGATTTAAAAAATTTTATTTATTTGACAGAGAGACAGCGAGAGAGGGAACACAAGCAGGGGGAGTGGGAGAGGGAGAAGCAGGCCTCCCTGCCGAGCAGGGAGCCTGATGTGGGACTCGATTCCAGGACCCTGGGATCATGACCTGAGCTGAAGGCAGACGCCCAACGACTGAGCCACCCAGGCGCCCCGGTAAAAGAGTTATTATAAAAACCTGATTACTAGAAATAAAGGAGAAACAAAGCAAAGAATTAAATGTGTATTTACTTTGCTTCCTTAGAGTCACTATTTAATAGCAACAATGGATTACTAAGGTGGTTCTCTAACATAATGAACAATCTGCTTACTTGGGAGGATCCCCGGTTATATTGGCTTCTTATAAAAAGTGAATCCAAAAGAGTAAATGGAATTCTACTCTCTTTTAATTGTTTACATTAGCATTTTGTTTAAAAATCAAGCTTCTGGGAGTTGGATCTTTCCAACAACTCTGGAGACAACAACACAAAGGAGATCTGAATCTCTCTTTAAATTCCTTTGCTTGACGTTCCTGACAACAGGGTTCTGGGATCTCAAACCATCTTTGGGAGGATATGTTTGCTGAATCCCTTCTTTTGTTCCCGAGAAGAGATAAGGCTTTTTTACTCTTGTCCTGAAAATTCCACCCTTGTCATTCATAACACATTATTTCCCCAGGGTAAAAAAGACTAAAATGCCTCAATCAACACCCCAGGCAGCTTGCTGCCACTTGAACCCGCACACCTACCACTCCCTGCCAATCTCTGCTCCCTGCCAATCTCTGCTCGCCAAATCCTCTGGACATCCCCAGGGCCATTCCCGCGCTCGCACTTCTCATGCCAACCTTCAAATTTCGATTTTATTTCATCCGAAAGGGGCTTATACTAGTTCTGGTTCTTCTTAAATTGGAAATATGGCGGTTTTAAAATCTAGAAGCTCTGGGTGACCAAAAAAAAAAAAAAGATTTATGCCAAAATATTTAGGGGATAAGCGTTTTGAGGTCCACAACTTGCTTTCAAATGGTTCATCAACACCACAGGCGGTAGAAGAGGAAGAGAAGGCAAATGTTAACAACTGCTGCATCTAGGTAGAGGGTGTACACTGCACCAGTCTCAATATATACTTGAAAATTTCCAAATAAAAAGTTCAGAAAAATAAATGCTCTTATGGTTACCCCAAAATAAGTCCTTTGGGTTAAATGTGTTGTTAGACTTCCCTGTAGTCTTCCCTACAGTTCTTCTCTGTAAGTCACTAAAATAACTTTTAGTACCTGTGTTTTTTTCCTGTGTTACAGAAGTTCTGTGTAACAGAGTTGGGCACAGTGAATTAGCACAGTCTCGTATTTTAGAAATGTTCAAAATCTAGACATTGGCCTAATGGAAATATTTCTGTGTCAACATCTGGAACACAGAACATTTAAAGTTTTGATGTCGGCATGTTTAAGATTTTATTTACCTTAGAGAGAGAGAAAGAGAGCAGGGAGGAGGTGCAGAGTGAGAGGGAGAAAGAGTCTCGAGCAGACTCTGTGCTGGGCTCGATCCCAGGACCCTAAGATCATGACCCAAGCCGAAACCAAGAGCTGGGAGCCCAACCGACTGCGCCACCAGGTGCCCTGGTGTGAACTAAACTTGTGTTTGGTCTTTCTTGAATGATCTTAAAGTTGAATTTTATTTTATTTTTTTAAGATTCATTTATTTGACAGAGAGAGAGAACAAGCAGGGGGAGCAGCAGAGGGAGAAGCAGACTCCCCGCTGAGCAAGAAGCCTGACTGGGGGCTGGATCCCAGGACCCCAAGACCATGGAGGCAGAGGCTTAACCGACTAAGCCACCCAGGTGCCCCCTTTAAGTTGAATTTTAGGTTAAGTATATATATTCATCTTTTAAGTTAAACTGTAGCAGAAAAGATGCCTTAGTATCTTTGTATTCCACAAAACACCAGCATATATTAAAACCAATCAAAATTTAAAAGTAAAGCAAAAGCCCTATGATGAAGTTTTGAAATTAAAATTTATACCATTTTGAGCATAATATGGGGAATTGCTTATAAAATCAGCAGGCCCAGAGCTCAAATTATCATGGTATTGCCAAGGTGATTTCATCATTTGGAAATTATGTTAAAAGGATTATCACTCTTAACTGATAATCACATCACATTTAGAGTTTGATTGGATTAATCAGAGTGCTAGAGACACAAAGACCAAAGTTGAAGGATTTGGGATTCCTAATCTTCGGAAGCTCATAATCTAGTGACAGAGCTAGGCACCACTATCAGTGTAAGAAATTTAAAAAGAAGCAAGTGAGGGCTGTAAGGTTAATTTTAAGAAGAAGGTAGTATCAGGGAGAGTTTAGGAAGGAAGAACAAGTTTGCATTAGATCTTAAAAACAGAACAGTGTTTTCTCCAAATAGAGACAAGCAGAGCATTTCAGTCAAAAGAATGAGGGTGAAGAAAGGCACAGAAACAAAGTATAAAGGGCAAGAGGAAATTTCCAGTGCGAGAGGAATACAAGGCAGGAGATAGGCTGATGTTAAGGAATTTGCACAAGGACTTTAAGAAGCCGAATAAAAACATAAAACAGTATATTACAGGGTAGTCTGTGCATATGATCTAGATGAATAAAAGTAAAAATACAGTTACCTACAGGAGAACTCATACTAAGAATACGAGGTGATCTCACAGAACCCAAGGATAGGAATGGAAAGGCTACTGCCACCGCCCTGGGAGTGAAGCTGGCCACAGGAACAGATGAATGTGGGGATTAGTATCATCAAGATTCTTTCCATCGAGTTCTATTTTTGCTCCTTTCAATATCAGCTTCATCTCTTACTGAACATTGCCTTCCCCTCATGGTTTGGAAATGTGGCTTCTAACCTCTTATACATTTTACATATTTCAGTTTTATCTGAGAGAATGGCCCTCTTTGTCTCCAGTTTAAAAATGCTAGGAAGGAACTCATTGGTGGGGGCTTGTTCTGATTTCTTCCCCAAACAAACCAATTATTGTCTTGGGTCAGGACCATGATCCTGTAAGAGCAGAGCAGCTTCATCAAGAACTATGTAAATGGAGTAGGGAGAGGGCAGCCTCTAAGATAAAGGCGCAAAGCTGAGCTTAGCTGAGCTGGGTCCTGCAGACATCCACTTTCTTCCCTCTCCACTCCTTCCATTCTGTCCTGTGGCCATTGTCCCCGGGGTTAAGGCCCGAATCGCTCTCCCTGCCTCATCTACAACTATTCTCTTCCTAAGTTACTCACTCCTACTAGTCTCTTTACTGTCCCTCATACAGATTTTAATGTTTTACTACATTTTTTTCATGACATTTCCAAACTTTATCCTTTCACTAATATGGGATGCTTTTTTTTCTTTCCAATGGGCTGGTTAGTCATTATGAGAGCACACAAGTATAATTTCCCTAATTATTTCTGAATCTGGCATGTTAGTTTAGTTAGTAATAACATGTTAGCATTCAGGTCAAAGCCAGATATTTTATAACTATAAAAGCCACTTAACCTCCCTCTGTTTCAACACTGAATACTAACTCGGGACCTAAGGGCTATTCTAAAAAATATTACCGGTCATAAGAATGCAACCGTCTCAAGGAAAACCATCACCACTACCAGAAAAACAACTGAAAGAATATGGTGTAATCAGAACAATATGGCCAAACATGTTTGGTTATTACTGTGTGTTTCCTGAGGAAAGGGAAGTTAGCAAATATTTTCTCCTTTTTGACAAGGCTATTATGTTCCTATTCGAGACAGTCTTAAATTGCTAGGAAGACAGGAGAAGTGGCACAAGATACAAAGAAATTTCTAAATATTTTAAAAACACAGACATTTCCCTTGTAAAATTAGGACTTTAATTTTGAGTATAGAATGGGACAGAATCAAGTGAAAGAAGCCCTAGGTATCACATGACATCAAGGAAAAAAATCAAAACCATCTACCTCTTGTCTTTTGTATATAGTCCTTTATGAGAACCAGTTCATTTTCCCCTTCAGGGGAAACAAAAGGGGAATTTTCTTGTGCTTCATCATTAATGTATTAATGCCAATGGTCTCGCCAAATGGAATTTAGTTAGGTTAATGTTCAAACCATGCTGACAGGGTCTTTACCCAACAGCATAATTATAACTCCTAAATCTCATGAATAATTCATCGTGGTAGGCAGAACTCTAGGACGCCCCCTGGTGTGCACACCTTGCAGAATTCCCTCCCTTATGGGGAGGCAGAAGCTGTGAATATGATGGAATATCACTCCAGTGATATTAATCAGTTGATGTTGAGTCATTCAAAAGGAATATTACCGGGGTGGGCCTGACCTAAACAGGTGAGCCTTAAAAAGGCTTGAGCCATTCCTGCAAGAAATTCAAAGTGGGAGAGGGTATATGGAGGGGCCACTTAGCAAGCAACTTGTGGGTGGTCTTTAGGACCCGAGGGAAGAGAACCCAGCTCTGCTGTGCCCAGATTTCTAACCTACTGTAACCATAAGATAATAAATATTATTTTAAGCCAAGAGGTTTGTGGTAATTTGTTACAAAGCAATAGGAATCTGATACATTGTATATATGTATATTGAATATACCTTAATACACTGTGATTGCACAGCAAAGAATTTGGACTTCAAAGAGAACTGTTTCAAACTGGCACTAAGACCCCATTTCTTTTTTTTTTTTTAAAGATTTTATTTATTTATTTGAGAGAGAGAGACAGCAAGAGAGGGAACACAAGCAGGGGGAGTGGGAGAGGGAGAAGCAGGCTTCCCGCAGAGCAGGGAGCCGGATGTGGGGCTCGATCC